AGCACAAATGGAACTGCTTATATTTCCTTTGGACAGTGGGTAGGTTTACTATTGTTGTCTTTGGTAGTATTCCTAAATTTTTGTGGTTATGCTGTATGCCATTTTTAAACTATAGACACCGTATGAATGTATTGTGATGTGTAAGTGTATGTTAGGTTGGTGCAATCATCCTATATACGTATGTATTTCACATGTTGGCACCTCCGCCAGAAGGTACCTTTGATATGGAAGAGGTAAATCTTCCCATCAAAAATGCTCCAAAGGATAGCTTGCCTGAGCAAGTTCCATTGCTGAACCTGGAGGCTGCGCCAATAGAGTCAAACGAATCAAAGAAAGGAAAGGTTAAAACCATTATGATTTATTTCGTTCAGTTTTATGCTTTTTTGCTTAATTATTGTTTTTACCCTTGTATTGTGTTGTTAAGAGAAACATTTACTGATTAAAGCTTTGGATTTTGTTCATTTTACTCCCTTGCAGGTAACACAGATTTTGATTTTCCTTTACGAGAACTTGAAGCTCAAGCAAATTCTTCAGCCCGCTATTATTGCTTCAGTAAGTTTCTCATGATCTCATCATTTTATCACTTTCACATTCATTCATGAAGAACTTATATTCCAAATCTTCCAATCAGTAAACTGCCCAGAAATCAGAAAGGCAAGAATTGTAGAATACTTGTATCCTCTAGTCTTGAATTCCCTATAATACCTCAAATCTGAGTTTTGGTGGAGCAATTTGGTAAGATTTTTCTTTGACAATTTGGTCCTTTTTAATGACAAGTTGAAAACTGCCAGAAAAAGGCCCCAACACTACAGTTAAGAGCGTAGTTGCATGCACTCTTTCTTCAATAAGACCTGCTGTGTTTGACTTTCTTTAAAATTTGTGCTTGTTCATAAAATTTTGTCAGAATACATTTTGAATTGCATCCATCAATTAAGCTTAGAAAACTGCATCAGTGCATCTCTTAGAGAAAGTGTGTTCTACCTTTCTTTTACCATGCCAGTAAATTTCTTCTATGTTTTTTGCTGCAGATTTTAGCCATGGTAATTGGTGCAGTGCCAGTTTTGAAACATTTGATATTTACAACAGATGCTCCACTTTTCTTCTTCACAGACAGCTGCATTATTCTTGGGTATGTTTTCAGTTTTATCTCAAGTACATGACTGGTTCTAGTTTCTGTAGCCTGTCATTACTTGAAAAACATGTTGGTTATTTCCACCTCATGCCTTCAGTGGTCCATATCATTTCTTTAGTATTGCTTTTAATTTCTAACTACCAACCTGACTGCCATGTAATTTCTGATGAATGAAATTTTTGAAGGAAAAGCCATTTTCCTGTCTTTCTTTTCTTTGAATCTTCTTATCTAGAAAATATATATTATTTGAATTTTTGGGTTACATGTTATGTGATGTCAAGTCATGCTTGCAACACAGATTTTATTGTTTTAACATTTTTAGTTGCTAACAGGGAAGCCATGATTCCATGCATTTTGTTGGCATTGGGAGGCAACCTTATTGATGGTAAGCTATCTCCTTATTTGCATATACTTCACTTCATACTTGAAAAAGAGTTGTAAGAGACAGAGTCATTCCAGTTCTTAAACTTGATTCCAAGTTTCTAGATGGCAATAAGCATATGAAAAATGCACTTAAAATTTTTCTTATGGATGTTATGCGATTTTCATTGAATGTTGTCTACAGGACCAGGAAGTTCAAAACTTGGTTTCCGGACAACCGCAGCTATTATTTTTGGGCGTTTGGTTTTGGTGCCTCCTATGGGACTTGGCATTGTAACCTTGGCTGATAAGCTTGGCTTTCTTCCTCCTGGTGACATGATGTTCAAATTCGTCTTACTCCTTCAGCATACAATGCCAACATCTGTCCTTTCGGGTAAACAGAGTTTTTTTTCTTGGGGCTAACATATTTAATTTCTCTAACTTTGGACATTATTGATGATCATGGTCCTTAAAGCTTTGTGATATGGGATATTCACATCATGAACTTCAGAATATAACCATGACAAAAATACGGGTTTAGTTATGGCAAAATGTTGGAGCTGGGATTGGAACAATGCGTATTAGTATCATTTTAATCTGTTTTCCTTTTGGGCGGTAACATGTAGAAGCAAACAGCATTAATTTACTTAAGCCTTTTCTACTTGTTCCATGTAGGTGCTGTTGCTAATTTAAGAGGTTGTGGAAGGGAAGCGGCTGCGGTCCTGTTCTGGGTTCATATTTTTGCAGTTTTCTCCATGGCAGCATGGATTGTTCTCTATCTGAACTTACTCTTTTAGAACTCAACTGCATCAAGCCAATTCTGAGCTACAAATGCTTTCACCTTTTGCTATCAAGTCTCCTGTCAAAATTTTATGTTAATAGCTCAAGCACATTGTTTAGAATCTCTAGATTCTTTCCAGGGTAGGAAATGGGGACAGAACATGCAAAGAGCATAGAGCGCCTGTGTTTATAAAAGAATGTTGAGTTGTTTACCAATTTCTTTTTCTGCTTGATGCAACTCAGTTATCAGTTACCTCCGAAGGAGAAGTCAGCTTTAGTTATTAAATGCTCGGCCAGAATTCTTGCAATAGCTAAGCACTAACATCATTTGCTAATAATAATAAAATGGCTCCCTAGGGAGTGGCTTGCTTGGTTAATAATTTGAGACTTCAATTAGGTGGTCTCAAATTATAGCCTTGAGTCAAGTAAAAGGAAATTTAAATAAAATAAAGGACTCTCTTATGATATAGCCCATTATATGTACCAAAAAGGAAGAACAATAGAAGGATGAAAAAAAAGAGCAAATGCAAATACTTGGGACTCATAAGGCAGACACCATAAAAGTAACCGTAGCAGATTGCAGGGTGTTATGTTTTTGGAGACTCGAGGCTGAAACTGAGAAATTGCAAGTTCATAACAGCATAAGACTAGTCAGATATTCATGAAGGTAAATCATGTCAGCTTTGATTCAATAATAAAAAAATAAATAAAAATCCAGTTGATTTGCTAAAAACCTCGCTCAAGCACTGCCCACTTAAAACGAAGCTACATAAGTACAAATATTTTCCACTCGTTTCTGCTGCATGAAGTTGCAACAAGAAGATTCAATCAAAACGATCACAGTAAACAATAAAGCGTAGAAAACTAGAATGTGATGGTAATGGTTGGCACTCACGTGCACTCAACAGAATGGTGAAATACAACCATTCAAATAGGAATTCATGAAGCCAATAACACCATGAGTCAGCAATGGGCAACCATCGTAGTACATGTCATTGTATTTATCTACTGGATTACTGAAACCGCTCAGAAGAAAAACCATCTCCTGCTCCTGTTCCCCCTTTGGTTCAGAAGGGATGGACTAGAAGTTTGAATTGAATGCTGACCATGTGTAGGGAGATTACAATGGTTTGCCAATCCTTGCCCTCTGCCTAACCATAACACAAGAATGATACCCACAATACCAACAATAGGAGCCGCAGCCCGAAAAAGCCAATCTCCACTGTCACCAACGGAGCTATTCATGGTGGTATCAACATCTGGGACCTCTGTTCTCCCTGATGTGCTCGGACCAAGTTCGCAAGCTGCTTCTGCTTCAGAAGAGTTCTCAGAATAACCATCCTCACTTGCATCTTGCTCCCGGATTTCAGGTATCTCTAACTGAGCATTGCCATGCTGCTTTCCCTCTTCATAATCCTTGTCATCAGTAGGAAGCTCATAACGACAAAGGGGACATGAATTTCGTGCTGTCAACCAAGGCAGGATACAGGAAGGGTGATAGAGGTGGGAGCAAGGAAGCCTGCTTACTTCAGTCCCCACAGTTAAGACATCCTTGCAGATTGCACAGACCAAACCATCATGTTTCTCATGTTCCTCACTCACAATTATTCGAGGCAGATTGTTCACGTAAGATACAGATGCAGGGGGGGCTCCCCTTCTCAAGCTGTCAGACTCAGCAAGGTGGTCAAGCACTTGTTCAAAACCTCGAACGTGATGGAAGCTGCTGGGGAAATTGTTAGCTGTAAAATTTATTTCACTTGGACTTGAAATAAACATATTTCGCAGTCCAGCTCTTGATATTGTAAATCCAAGAGTGTCATCCTCAGCATCAGCTTCTTCCCATTCACCATCTTCTTCCCCTTCACCATCCTCTTCCCCTTCACCATCCTCTGGGTTATCCCAATTCCACTGGTCCAGACCAGCATGCATTGGATCAATATCAGTGTCACTGTCAAAATTACTTCCAGTATCTGGATTGACAAATATTTCTCCATCCAGGAAACTGTGCCCATCATCAGAGTCCCCTCCATAGGCACTAAAAGAAACCGCGTCACTGTCACCATGGAAAACCCTATATCTACTGAAACTAATATTTGATTCACTATCCCCATAAAGAGATTCAAGGTTATCAAAACCATCACTTTCACTATCAGAAAGTATACGGCGCCATCTCCTAGAACTAATAGGAGTTCTACAGGAACTAGTGTGCTGAAATGACCTTGCAGCTAAGTCAGCTTCTGGAGTTTGATCCCCAAGCCCAGAAGAAGAGGATTGATTCTGCCTCACCATATTAATCATATGTGAAAATTCTTGTGAGAAAGGATTTTCTATGGACTCAGAACTGCTTGGCCTGTTCCTTCTTGATCTAGAAGGATGTCTTCTCCGACGGGAGTATTGCTCTGGAGTAGCAAGATCTTCAAGTAACAAAAACTTGCAATCCCCACATAAAGAAGTAGTTTCAAGATCATCAGTTGCCTGATTATCAGGTGCAAGGATTTTTCTACAAAGAAAACAAACTGATGGCTGGCTAGAATGGTCAACTACAAAAGCACCCTCCATATGACCATCAGAAATGGCCGAGGGCAGATCCCGAGACATTCTTTCTGGGCTTGCATCCATCTGAAGAGGTAGAACAAGTCAGAATTAAGCTAAGCAAGATACAAAAGGAAAAGCAAACTCATAAGACCGACATAAAGATAAAAAGGCCCATAACAAAGGCTACAAAATTTAAGACAATCAGAAGAACAATAACAACATACAAGAAACTTAGGAAACCAATTTCTAGTTCACAAACAGGAAAAATGAGCAAGGTCTGATTGGTGGATGTAATGAGGAAATCAAGTCATTAATTAGAATTACAATTAACACCCTCTCCTATTAAAGATATAAATTTCTAAATTCAATACTATTTCCATGAATGATTGATTCTCTACTACAATGAACAAACGCTACAGGATCAATTTTCTACGGGAAGCTAAGGCAGAGGAAATGATTGTAATTACCACTTAGATTAGCCACAGGTTAGAAAAACAACCAGACAAGGCCAACCAAATTATTCTTTGAGACAATTTACCAAAAACCAAAAGAGCCTTCTTCAGCATTAGCAATGCTACCATCCTTGTGGGGAGTTGTTGAGCCTGAAACTAATTAAAGCTCCATTTCCTCAGGAAGGAATAAGAGAAAAGAGTGCATTTTTGGAACTATAATCATAGTAAAAAGATATCCCAAACATGGAAGCAAATGTTTTGAGAACAAACAACCCATCAAAATCAAAACCACTGTTCCAAGCTGCAGACAATAATAATAATAATAATAATAACAACAACAAATCGAACAAAATTAGAGATGAAAACAATAAAAAGATAGACAATTAACATGAAAAATGAAACTAAATAGTGAAAGAAGCAGAAGAATTGCATAAAAAGAAACTGAATCGGCTAATGAAATCAAGAACTTCAATTAAATTGACTATTATCGTACCTGGGGAGCTAAATTAGTGAAAGAAAGCTCCAATGTTTAGGATTCGACCATGTAACGAGGAAAAGAAGGGAATTAAGGAGCAAAGTGGGTTAGGGTTAGCGAAATTAGGGATCAGAGGGGGAAGAATTGATTTGGATCGGGTGAATGGGGGAGTGAGATTACAAAGGCTGAAACTTGGGATTGCGAAATCTCTGCAGAAATGAGAGATGAGAGGATGTGTAGAGATATGGTCTGTGGTACGGAGTAGAGGAAGGGGCATAGACTTTGACGGAGGAAGAGGGGCCAGCGTTCGACCGAGTCCACGGCGGACGTCACCTTCGCAGCGGAGTTCTTACTTTTGAGTTCGGATTTCCACCGACCGCTTTCACTCTCTTTGTGCAAAGGATAAATCATTAAGGACAACAACAAAGTTTCAGTCCGGACTGAAATCTAACCCTGAACCGAGTCCACGGCGACTCTGGACTCGTGAATTGGTCACGTAATTGTTTAGGAAAATGATATACGGAGTAGTTAGAAGTGATTAGTAATTATCAGCCTAATTTTCAAAAATTTAAGTTGAAAAATACTTTAAAATTTGTCATTTCATGACATGATTGACTTTTTTTTATTTTTTAATTAACATAAATGTATAATATTATATATATATTTATTTAATAATATAATATAATTACAAATATATAATAATTATTATAAAAGTAATACATGGGGGGTAGTGCACTCTTTACAACCTTCTTTCCCGCTCGACCTATGCTTGTCTCTCACTAAAATAGTGTTTAGATGATGACATTTTTGTAATTTTCGTTTGTTTTCGGGACATATGGTTAAGAAAACCCTAGGAAAGAAGAGAACAAAATCTGGAGTGGGCAAAATTCTACCTAATCAGTGAACCTGTTCTCTAAGCAAGTATGGGTAATGAGTTTTTGACCCGTAACTAGTTAAAGATCTATTTTTTGACCCATTTAAGTCTCATGTTAACTTGCCTGAAATTTTTATATAAATAGTAAGCAAAATAGCATCCGGCCCTTTAGGCCAAGTGCTCTTTGACCACCTGATGCATTCTTCTGTTTTATGGGCAGGGTTCAATCTCGCCTCATGTAATATTGTTCAAAAAAAAAAAGCATAATATTTATTTTTTTAATAAATGAAAAAAACCAAAGACGTCATGTAATTAAAATATTAGGTAAAAGCTCTTCTTAAGCACTTAAATTTATCTCAAAATAATATTTAAACCTTCAAACTAAAAATGAAACAGATAAACCCTTCAACTTCATTAATGATACAAATCAACTTTTCTCATTCATGGATGTTCATGCTTTCAAAATGATATTAAACATAAAATAACATTTAGCTCGTTTGTAAGAAAGACTTATTTGCATTGTTAATAGAGTTTGAGGGCTTATCTACTTATTTTTAGTTTAAAGACTTAAATATTACTTTGGGATAAGTTTAAGGAATTGAGAAGGGCTTTTGCCTAAAAATAATAAAGAAAGGATTAACACCCTTTAATGAATCAACATTCACTATTTTTTAAAAAAAATTATGATAAAATCTGTTTCTAAAACTAATAGAACTGTAGGTTCATCACAAAATCCTAATTAGAAGAAAGAGGGAACGCATTGCAAGAGA